AGTAACGCAGTTGGTCTTTAATCTATTTTTAACAAAAACCATTAATCATTATTTGATATATTACGCGATAAGGTGATCGATGTTTGGTGTCTCAAAGCCGTTCATGTCTTGGTTTCCAAGCGGAAGAAATTGTGCAGAATTGGATTAAATTTCTGCAGTTTACTACTGGTCCAGAAATGTTAATCTTGAATAGCAGTTGATGTTAATTGCCATTCTTGGTTCAGCGCAGTTTTGCTTGTCTGTACATTTGTTTAAGGTGAATTTGGGTGGTGATGCGGGGAGTGAAGGTGAAAGCGAAGCAGAGCAAAAGGAAACGGGTTGTTGCCATTCGAGCATTAAAAAGGACGAGAAGTCGAAAGAACTACCACTCAGACCGGAAGCATCAGCATTGGATCGACCGCCGAAAGCGCCTGCGATGCTGTCTTTACCTAATGATGAGCATGAACTGGGTCATATAGTATGCTGTTTTTTCTCTGTTTGCATGCACTATTATGTATCTAGCAGGCGATTAATTTCGCGATATTTAATCGTGGAGTTTTTACTTATGTATCAGTTTTTTGTCATATTCACATTCGGAGCTGTTGCTGCTTCCTGCAGGTCCTGAAACTTGTTTATACGTCGTTGGTAAAATGAGAATTTAGGAAGAAAAGAGTGAAATTACACTGGCCGATAAAGACAGCTCTGTGGAGACTGTGGAACAGACTGTATTCCAGAGGTAAGAGTTGAATTTTGCGTTATTATTTGTTAATAATTGTTTTTGCTTTCGCAGATTTCCTCTTTTCTGCAGCAGCTGTCGGCAGCCGAATTCAGTCATGAATCAGTCACCGATTCTACCACCGAGTTCGATTCACTCAGACCTGTCTTCTCAAAGCTTTATCTCACCGCCGCGCTCCTTGCAGAAAGTAACTTAATTTTTCTACTCCGTTTTTTTCCGTTTCATCAGGCCACATTTCGGGAAATGTTTGGGGATTTCAATTTTTAGCGTAACACTTCCGACGGCTCGAGCCGCACTCCTGTCTCACAGGTTGAAGCAAGTCCCGGAGAAGTATTCGTTAGCTCTACTGACAGGAACAGCGTTCGCTCAGATCCGTCTACACCGCATCATATATCATCCCAGTCTCTTCCCGGTATATTTTCGAGCTAATGCTATTGATTTCTAAATTCTTATCTTCCATAACATAAGCTGGATCACTTTAGGCCCAGATGTGCTCTTTTGTAATACTGCAACAGACGATATGAGGCTAAATATAGCCGAAACCCCATCAGTGGCGAATACAACCAAAAGCATGGCAAAGTCATCCACACCTGCGCTACCTCCTGCAGTAGAACAGCATTCCCATCGACGAAGTTCCAAAAAAAATCAGGTTTATATATATTGTATTAGTTATTGTATTAGTTGTTATTAGACTTGATCATTAGAAAATTTGTGTGTTGAATCACACACCGAAGAGACAAAAAAGTTATGTAGGAAATTTTACCTGCGAATTTGTTATCACTTTTCAGCCGCTCCACCACTTTATATTCAATCCACGATGTGTTTCGTCTCGCTCTTCTTACTGGTGATTTAAGAGTTGTGGCTTTGACATGGAATTTGTAAAGACTGCTGGGCGAAAATGCCAAAGTCTTCCTTGCTCGGATTAGTTATCACCTGTTTGAAAATGTTGCGTGTAATAACTGCCGAGTATTAGAAAATACTTTTATCGCGTAGAAGTGGTGTGCGTGTGTGTGTGTTTGTGTGTGTGTGTGTGTGTGTGTGTGTGCGTGTGTGTGTGTGTGTGTGTG